TAAAGTCACCCATTGCTTATCAGGACAATCGCTTCAAGTCCACAGACATCAAGCATCCATTTAGCACTGGCGACACCTTCAAACACATTCAAGCAAAACGACAGGAAACATTTACCAATCTCATAAACAAATCTAAACACGCCTACATGCGAACTTACATACGTTCATACATAAACATATGCAACCATCCCACTGTTCCATTGTACACTAACTGATCATATTTTGTACTCTTAACATGATCATGCCTGCGCAGGCGTGCCTCGCTTAGTCGAGAATACACAATTTATTTATTTATTTATTTATTTTCTCAACTCTACATGCCCCAACCCTCGCTTTCGATAGACTGGCGAACACGAGCAAGGTTTTCGAGTTGGTGGTGGTGTAGTTCTCTACTGGAAAGAGGATCTTAAAGTTCATCTCGTAGAAGCCGTCAGCGACGCTGTTGGTGGCGCAGAGCTACTCTGGTGCACGATCAACAATGGCTTCAAATCCCTTATGGTTGGCGTCATCTACAAAGCCCCGTGGGGACATGGTACTTCTGTACTAGACTTTATCAACTCGCATGGAAACCGCAGAGATTGTCTTATTGTGGGCGACTTCAATGCCCCGCATGTCAATTGGGATCTACTACACTGCCACCTTTCACCCGAGTCATTTGACACCAACCTCCTTGAAACTGTCCTCAAAACGAATGTCACCCAGCATATAACATCGCCCACCAGGCTTCTTCCCGGCCAGACTCCGCACATTCTTGTTTTTGTGCTCACTCCGTCTCTGGCAGATGTCTCAGAATTGACCCTTCTACCACCCATAGGCAAAAGCGACCATTGTACAATCTCCTTCCTATGGACTAAACGTCTAGCTATCCGAACCCGGAGCGCACACCGTCGCAACTTCTGGCGAATCGACGCATTCAAGCTAAGTGTGGCAGCAGGTACATTGGACTGGAATGTTCCACAACACTTAGATCTCGATGCTGCTTTGAACGATTTATTCCGCAAATTGAAGCTCCTCATCGAGTAGGCCGTCCCACTCAAGAAGAACAGGCCTCTTTCTAAGGGTCCCCCCTGGATCAACCGAGAACTCAGGGCCAACATGAAACAACGACGAAAACTATGGGACAGATTCAAGTTTTCCCGCTTAGACTCAGACTACTCTAAATATAAAACCATCAGGAACTTCTGCTCCCTGCAGAAACGTGAAAAGACAACAATACGAACATAGCCTGGCCGAACAATCTCTCTCTAGGCCAAAGATACTATTTTCATACCTTAATAGATCCTCCAAGACGGGCTGTGGAATTCCTGCATTGTCTACTAGTGAGCCAGATATGATACACTATGAGGATGACGCCAAAGCTGACCTCTTGGCTCTACAGTTCTCCTCAGTATATAAGAAGGGAGACAAACTCGCAAACCCTCATGTAGTTGCACATACAGTACCTCTGGTACATATCGATATCGATGCAGGTGCTACCTTGAAGCTACTACTAGAACTGAACTCCTCTTCCTCACCAGGCCCAGACGGGTTACATCCACATTTTCTCAAGATGGTTGCAGAATTCATTGCCGTCCCACTTTGTCAAATCTTTCAGCTCCCTCTTAAAGCTGGTCGACTACCTGTCGATTGGAAGACGGGTGTAGTTATGCCGAAATACAAAGGTGGAAACCGCCAGGACCCTGCGAACTATCGGCCAATTTGCCTGACGTCGGTCGCCTGCAAGATCATGGAAAAGCTCATTAAATCTGCTCTCCACCGACACTGCGAAGATCTGAACTACACCTCAGTCACTCAGCATGGCTTCCGAAAGGGGCACTCCTGCATCACTAATCTGTTAGTCGCTGGAGAGAAGTGGGCTAAATCAGTGGAGGCTGGAAAACGTTTAGATGTGGTCTTCATCGACTTCAGCAACGCTTTTGACAGAGTCCCACATCAGGAACTACTCTCTAAGCTCGGCGTAATTGGCGTGACAGGGAACCTCCTACTACGGATTAGTGACTTCTTGCAAGGCCGGAACATGCAAGTCAAAGTAAACGATACCCTCTCATTCCCCGTGCTTATGTATAGTGGCGTACCACAAGGCTCCGTTCTCGGACCGGAATTGTTCAAGATATATATCAATGATCTACCAAGTATGCTACAAACGGACTGTCTGGTCTATGCAGACGATCTCAAGCTATGGTCGGAAGTGTCCCGCCTCGAAGACGCCGACCAATTACAGGAAACGCTTGATCTACTACACTCTTGGTCTATCAAGTGGGGTTTGCCGGTCAACAAAGATAAATGCTCAGTCCTTTCTATAGGTGCTGCTGAACCACTGGGCATCTATCACATTGGCGCGCACCTACTCAAGATTGCCACACAGGAAAAGGACCTGGGGACAATAATCTCCTCTGATCTCAAAACGACCCTTGACACGTTAAAGAAAACTGCTGCGGCGAACAAGATGTGGGGCGCCATAAGGAGATCATTCTCTAAAATGACGCCGCAGATATTTAGACTTCTCTTCACCTCCCATATCCGTCCCATTCTTGAAGTCGGACATCCGGCCATAGCCCCTTTATCTAAACATGAAAGCGACAAGATAGAAAAAATTCAGCGACGAGCCTCGAACTTTGTCCTTGGGCTACGCAACCTCCCGTACCCCACCCGCCTACAGAGGATGAACCTTTTTCCCTTAGACTATCGCCCACGTCGCGGAGACCTCATCTATACCAGGCGCATCCTACGAGGAGAACTGGGAAACGAGCTAAGACAGTTCTTTCAGCTAAGACTTGGCAGCTCGACTCGAGGTCACAGCTGGAAGCTTTTTAAACCGAGGAGGCTCAAAGTCCGCTCAGATTTTGCTCTCTCTACTCGTGTGATTAATGATTGGAACCGACTGCCGGACCCGATTGTCAATGCGCAATCAGAAGCGAGTTTCAAACGTTTGCTAGACATCTTCCTACTGAGTACTCCAGGATCCTGCAGGGCTGATATTACATCCTGAGCCATGACAGCCAACTCGCCTGCAATCCTTGGAAGATCGGGAGGCGAAGGAGCTGACACGGGACCCCCCTTCTGCTCTCTACCACTCAATGACTCAATGACTCAATGACATCACCCGAACCTAGTCCGCCGCCTCCCACGACCAATCGCCGTGGTCGGGAGGTACGTAAGCCCGTTCGCTTCTCCGACTAGGTACAGTGCAAATACTTCTAACTCTGTAGATATTGTATATATTTGCCTCATTTTTGGTCGATTAACGCTTTGAAAACAAACAAAAATATCAAAAACCCCCGAAAAACCTTTTTCGAAAAAATATTGAAAAACCAAAATATATTTAAACACGCAGCTCATTCGTTTGTTCTTTTTGGCGTTTTCTGCGCGTGTTTTTCTATTTTCTCGTCTTTACATGCCCAAACCCTTCCCTTCGATCGACTGGCCCACACGAGTAACGTTTTCGAGGACGCTGACGCGAACACTGGTCGTTTCTCCGAGGGAGGAGGAGCGCTCCTTCGAGGGACGAGGCTCGCTTCTCCGCGAGACGAGGGTCGCTTCTCCGTGGGACTGTGGTCGTTTTCTTCGTGGGACGAGGGTCGTTTTAGCGCGGGGCGGGGTGCGGCGGGGGGAGAGACCACTCCCAAGCGCACCGTTTGGCAGCAGCGGAGGTTGAGGTCCTGTCGGCCTTTTTCTGGGCTAGCCAGTATTTTTGTAGTCCGACAAGCCCGCTCCAACGGCTCGCCGAAATGCACCCTGCCCTGCATTCAAAAATAACAAATCATAAACGGCACAGCGGACTCCGACTTCCGATGAACCCCCATTTGCACGAACGCACGCCCATTTTTACTCGGCACGATTTCGCCTTACGAACCTCGTTTCAACATTCCTTTTAGATTTCGAAGGCTTTCTATGTTCAGCCTTCTAGGGGGGTGGCTCTGTAGTGTAGCGCCCAAAAAGATAACTCTTATCTTTCGTGTACAATTTACTTGTTGACCGATTGTACATTACTCCTTGTTTTAATCTTACAACCGGCTCGACACACAACTGCTTTGTAAGTCCCCGCGCTCACGTGTACGCTCTTGCCTCGCTTCATCCGTCCGCTTCTTGTTGTATCCCATCGAATACAGTCCGCTGTGTCCGACTCCCATTGCCTTCTGATATCCGCGCTTAATTCCGCGCATCGTCTCGGACTACCCTGCTAGCACAAAAAGGATTTTGAAGGCGAAAATGGGGGGTAAAGTCCTTAGCCGTCAACTATAGACCTGAATCCATGGTTAAGGACTTTTGCGACCATTTTGAAGGCGAAATTTGTCCTTCCACTGCAGCTGTATTAAGTACACAGTGAAGGACTTTGCGCCCTGTCCAATCAGAAACCTAGGTTAAACAGTGAATGACAGACAGACTGGCGGAGTATGAATGGTCATTGACGGTTGACCTTGGACGGCGTGGACCAATGGCCGTGCACGCACCACGACGCTACGCACTCACCTAGCCGGTACCCCTGTACGCCGCACCTAGCCGCAACCCCTATACGCCGCACCTACCTGCAAACTCCTGTACGCCGCGCCTAGCTGCAGCCCCTATACACCCCACGTATTGGCTACCCACCCAAGCTCGCACACCGCTGGAAGGGGGATCTCAAATCCCCACCTGCGTTTCCCGTTAATAATAATATGTAACGCAGGTATTACTACCGTTTACTAATGCAAAGTAAATGTGCGAGTCATAGCTAATCGCCCATATGACCTCTTTTCTCCTGCGGCGTAACATCCTGCTGCTACTGAATGGAGGAAACCATGTTTAACACGGCGCACAGGGTCCAGTCCCACTACTCATAGTGATGCCTTAGTATTTCATTCCCAATAAGCACAAAGATAGCGGGAATGGAATCCGATTTTTTCACAGTAAGAAGTCCGTTTACCGACGCATAGTAGTGGATACATTAAATGGAAGGACATCAATATTGACAACAGAGGTCCATGTTCCGTTTGAATCGGTTACGCTTCTTCCATGCTGTCTCATGGGCGCTCCAAGTCCACGAATTGGAAAACCTTATTTAAGAAATGTTAATAAGTAATCCACCATTTCATACCTGCTGGCTGCTTGCACAACCTTTGGTAGTGTCGCGCCATGCGTTGCCACGAATCGATTTCAAGTATTTCCTGACATCATCATCAGGTGACACAATACTTCCGGAGAAACGTTTTAATAGAGCAGCTACGACGGGGATGAAAGGGCAAAGATGTTGCTTACCTTGCACTTCGGTGAATAGCTTCATCTTCCGGAATCCGTGTTTGTTGCGGAGACAGGAGTAATTGATCTCCGCCATCAATGACCGCGTTAGAAGACGCTGCATCATGAGGCGTACAGTCTCCGACAACGTGTCTCCATGCACACCTTTCAGTTTAGACTGCATGCATATGTGAGGTATCAAGGAATCTTACCAATTGTTGAATGCATCCTGCATTAGTATAACAAATGACTGTAGTTCCTCCACCGATGTAATTTGCGAAGGAAGCGGCGTTGCCTGCTGCCCTGTTTGCCCGGCAATGGTTGCAGCCATCGATCTCATGTAACTCTTCACATACTCCAGTGTCTTCATATGTATGTATTCTCAACAGTCTATTAGGTAGACACTGAACATTACCTGAAAATGTATACCGTTTTAGGAATGTAGGAAGTTACCATCTATGAACTCCAGTTTATTCTTCAGTTGGTTCATATCGCCTGCAAGAAAATGGTAAAACCTCAAGTACATGCTTACGGTGAATGCCATTCCAATCGCTTGTAGGAACGGTGATGAAGGAGGAGTCAGGTAGACTCTAGGACTAGGACACTCAAGCTACAAAGTGTAAGCACCAATCGGAATCCGTTTTCCGAATCTGTTCGTTCGAATTTTTATCACAGTGAGATGCAGTATTGTACGCTGAAGTTTAATATTAAGAAAAATGTATCCCTTACCTGTATAAGCTGGTTTGTATCTGCCCATGTTGTATTGCTGGGAAGACGACTGACGTGGGTTTTACCCATCGAGCGGGCCAACTCAGTTAAAGAGAAGATAGCTAGAGAGCCATAGAGAACGGCTGTGGGGACCATGCGCTTCCTGGAGTGGCTCAAAGTCATCGGCAGTCTGCAGACTTCGGTGTACCTGTATGTTATTGGTGCACAAACGCCCTGTTTTTTCTTATATGAGGTAATCAGCAATAACATAGGGAGATTATAAATTACCGGTATGTGGTAATGGTTCACATTTTTTAGGCGTTAGGATCTCATTTTCCGTAACCTCCACAGGACAATCTCTTTGATCAATTTGTCCGAGGCATGTTTTCGCGCGCAAATACCGATCCCGCGCGGGCAATTGTCGGTTTGTACACCGAGGTCTCATTAATAATGCTGAACATCAAAGGTTATGTTGAAGATGGCGACGTACATACAAAAAGATCTTGATTAATAGAAACACCGAAACGTCGTGCAATATCGTCACCGATATTACTAAGCGAATGCGCCCCGCAAAATAGAAAAGAAGCTCACAATGAAGCTATCTACGTAGAGTACAAGTAATTGCGCAAGTGGAGATAACAATGCGCAAACTGTGCGTTGGGCGATAGCAGCTAGGGCAAACCAAGGACAAAGCTTGAGAAATGAAATCAAGCTGAAAAGTTCATTTTTGCAATACTGCAATGAAAACACATATAGTGCTTCTTATATCTAACTCACGTCGAAATGGCTTACTACCAACTCAAACTTTTTCTCCGCTATCGAAAATGCACAACGAAAAATAGAAGTCCACCACGGCGAAGCAGAATTGACAACCAAACGGAGCAGTGCCAGACGAAGCGGAAAATTTAAGGGCGCGGCAAAATTCAAAAGGTGGGTCGATGACTCTTTTTAAGAAATCATATAGGATTTTTTGACAGAATGAAGCAACTAACCAATGTTATGCTTATATTTTAGTTAACGTAACCTACACATATATGTGCACCCCTTGCTGGAATACGGAGTAGATCAAGTAGCCACTCATATATTACTGAAGGACTTTGAAGGACTTTTGAAGGACTTTGACGACCGAAAAAAGGACTTCATGTGCTAGCAGGGTAGTATTAACTAATCCTACAGTAGCAACCCAAAAGATATTTCTTGTGTCGTGTACAATTTTTTTACTCAGTCGCGCAATGTTCATTTTTGTTTTAATACCGACTCTACGGCCACTATTAACTGCATCCGGCTCACCACATTTCTCCACGGTGAGTTCCGGCACTGCCGTACGCTCTCGTCGCTTCATTCGTTTTTCGCTCTATTGTAACCTTCCGCGAGTACAAGCCGTTGTGTCCGTGCTTCTTGTTTCCTGGCATCTCTACCAGAGGGAGAACACTCTCGGACTAGTACAAACTAGTCCTACAGTCCCTCGCAGAATGCGTCTGTTGTAAATCCGATCACAACGACGACGTACAGTGCTCTGAGCCGTCGGATGGCTGCATATTGCCAGTTGCGACATTTGTCCTGAGCTCTATGCATTGCTGCAGCGATACACTACTTCATTTATCACTGTTTCCTGTAGCCACTGCCGTACTTCATGGGACCGTTTGATTGCACCATGAGAAAATGGTGTTGCTTTAGGACGTTCTGTGGTACAAATGGTACATAGCAACGAGGTTACCTAGCGACGTTGCCAAGGAGGATGAATGTGCAAATAGCTGGAAATAGCTGGAAGGAGTGGAAGGAATGGGATTGTGTGTAAATTATGAGAACATAGAAATGGTTACCAGTAAGGGTTCATATGTACGATGTCTGTTTTGTTATTTCGGTGGCCATAATTGATTTCTGCTACCGCTATGGCTGTGGATGATAGTGAGCTGTTAAGGTCCTTGGTCTTTGGGAAGTATGAAAGCATTGAACACATTGAGGAGCAAGTGGGATGTTTTCAGTCTGAAACGGCGACTTGTTTTTCCCGAGTTTCCTCCATGTCTGCTGCGGCGTACCAGCTTGGCAGGCGGAGGCATTTGCCGGATGCGGACGGCTACGGTTGCATCCTGTACCGTTGCGTGCATTGTCAACGTTCAAGATCGCGTGTCAAGCGGTGAGTAAATATTTATGCAACACGGAAGCTAACGTATGTAGATACAAATCCTACAAATGCAAGGCGCGATTCTCAGAGGTTTTGAAGGGGATAAATATGTCGTGAGTAACCCATAGAAGTATACACGCAACCGCCGGCTGTCACTGCGGCAGGAGAATGATGTTCTGCGTTTGATGGACAGTTTTCATAGCACGCCAGGTTTGAGGCGCTTCATCTATCAGGAGTACGGCAAACGTGTAACCCGTATGGAGCTGAGTAATCTGCGCATTCCTCATCGAAATAGAGCCACATGTGACATGGCTGAGGTGGCACAGATGTTGGAAGGGCACGGTGTTTGCCGATTGGTGTCTGAGGGTAGCCAGGTTCGCTATGTATTCTTCTCACCATCTGTAGTCCGTGGCATGGTTAAGCGTTATGGGGAGGTTTCCTTGTGCGATGCGGCGCACAGGTTAAATTATGTTTGGTACATTTTGCGGCATTTCAGGTTCGTGGACTTAACAGGTCTGGGGCTTTCCTTCTTCTAGGCCCTATTACCTGTTGAAACGTCCTATAGCTATGGGTAAGTAGTGGAGGAGATGCGGGAGATGGTGCCTAGCAGCATACGTTGCTGCACGGCGGTGATAGATAAATGTACTGCTCAGATGCTGGCGTTTCGACGCTTTTATCTCAAAGCGCGGGTCGTGTTTTGTCGGTACCATGTTAAAGTGGACACGGCTAGACGTTGCGCTAGCATAGGTGGCATCGCCGATGCTCGCCGAATCCAATTACTCGCTTGGCTTCATAACGCGATATATACTCGTGATGCGTCCGTACTGGAAACGTTATTGAACGCGGTGCGACGTGCGAATCCGGAATGCTACCGGTATTTGTTCGCAACGTGGCTCCAACCTGCAGACGCTTGGGCGGCTCACAGACAAAGGGTGCTGTGCTTTTTGAATGCCACACAACAAACAGGGTGGAGAATGACAACAAGCATCTTAAGGAGTATTTGTCCGAGAGGTCATCCTTGCTCACTCTGTTCACCTGCGTGGTTGATAGGGTAAGCAGTATCGTGCACGGAAGAAACAGCATAATAGCTAGGCGGTGCATGCGCGTAGTTTCTGTTCCATCGGAGGTGTCCTCAGTGGCTTCGGTTTTCGTACAACGAAACGATTTCGCTGGAAATGTCTTCATAGCCCATGTTCGTGCACCAATCTTTCTGGGTTGTAGGTCCGCTGGGTCTTATTGGTTAGCTACGTGTCCTGGTTCGAACGTGCGTCGTGTATACATAGCAAGCAACAGCGAATGCGATAGCGAGTTCAGTCGGCAGTGGCGGCTCCCATGTGCGCACATATGTTATGTGGCGGCACTTCACGGGTATTCCGCGGAGGACATACTACATAGGCGTCGGTGGATCACACCCAGGCAACCTCCCGCAAGCACCTCGGACTCTGTTCCCGCGGATGTTGGTGGGCAGATTTTAGATTGTCAGGTAGCGGATAGCGATGCGGTTGTCAGCCGTACCATAAAACTTCGCAAGACACAGGATGTTTTGTCAGACAACGGCAAGAAATTGTGCACCTACGGATCAGAGAACTTCTCCGCGGCGTTGACCTTCCTGAAAAAAGGTAGCGTTGCTGAGGTCCAAGGCGGCCAGCTTCCAGTTGTACGGTCGAACGCCTAAGTGCCCTGTTTCCCTTCTGCTGGATACGGAGGCAAACGTCCGGACGTTATGTGGCTTACCGACGCCGGGAACCTCGCGTGATGGCACAGCGGTCGTGGTAGCGACGACGTTGGGAAGCGATTTGCACAGCCCATGCATGCAACAGAGGTGAATGACGTCGGCCCTGTAATTTCAACGGCAAGACCGGTTCTACCCACATTGGCAACTGGGTCCAGGAAGCGTAAATCGCCCCTTAAGTGCCGTGTGATGAATGTGAGCTCCACTAAGCGTGCGCTAAGGAGCAAAGACTTCCGGAAGTCTCACATCATGACATCCTCCTCCCACAGGGTTCCCATTAAACGGAAACAGGATACTCAGGGAGTCTGTTCAGAGGTCCTCTGCGGAGTATGTCAGCAGGAGGATGATGTGGAAGTTCTCGGGGACGCGGTGCAGTGGGTTATGTGCGATGCGTGCTCACAAGAGTACCATGTGTCCTGCGTGTGTTATGCTGGTGACGAGAACTTTGTTTGTTTTTCTTGCTCGTCTTAGGATCTGTGCAACCTACGAAAGCGGCGTTGCATGGCACGCGCTGCAGGTATGCCTAATTTTTGCGCCCTTTCATTACCTTCAGCGTTGTGTTTGCAGACCGGATTGCGGTTACACGCTGATGGGAATGCGTGTGAAGATGAAGTGAACAAGGTGATGAGAGAGATGCAGCACCGCCGCACCATTATGCGCCGGTAAGTTGCACATTTCCCCTAATGAACCATGGTTTAGGCCCCTATCATCGGGCTGTCATTTCCGCAGCCAAACTCCCTGCCAGTGAAGGTGTTCCAACGTACCTCGGATGGCATTTGATGATTGTATGATAGGTGTCGCTAGGTAAGGCTGATTAGCCGCCTTGGCGCTTCTTTAAGAACTACGGTGACGTTCCTCCAGAATTGCCGTGATAATGCACTAAGCCACTGAGCCTCCTCTCAGGTCATGCCTTCTCCATGTCAGAGCACATTACCACATAGTCGAAAGTGTCGATTTTCTATTTTAAACATTGCTTCCCTTTCAGAGCGTATGTGATGTGCGGCAGACATAGCCTTCCGACCTAAGATCGGCACTCAGCCGCCTCCCATATATGGCCTCCATCAGCTCATGCACACTGCATACGTAGTCGCAGGCGCGGTTCGTTTTCCATGATGTCTTCCGTTTCAGAGACGCATTAATGTGCGCGGATCGCCGCTTCGCAAAGTATCATTGCCATTGAGCCACCTCCGACGTATCGCCTCCGCCATGTGAAGCTTCATTCATACCTAGTCACAGGTAACGATTGCTTTCCATGATCAATTTTCTTTAACAGCGAAAGTGAAATGCGCCGCTCGCTGCCTCCCAACCAGTTAACCGTACCTTCCAGCAACCCGACACCGTAATTTACCTTACGCAAAAATGATAACTCACTACTAACCACCCTCATTAAGGCCGTGTCTCTCCATTGCTGGTACCTTGTGAACTATCCACAAACCATTGCTCAGTGTTCTCGCTTCGTGAGTAACGAGCCGTTAAGCAGCTCCCCCGCGAGATCGGGAATATTTGTGAATGGTTTAAACATCATATGTCACAAGTGCATCAACTTTTCATGGTGCGGTTTAAAAAGAAATTTCCTTTCCCCCTATGAAGGATAACGTCACCGTGTATCTTTGACGCAGTGTGGCTTAGGGTAGACGCCTACCAACGTACCATTCCCATTTACTAGAGTGAAGGCATCAACGTCAATGAAACGCGTTGCCATACTACAGGTTATTAACCTCTTGTGCACGTCGAACTCCTGCTTGCAGCGTGCATTTGTTCTCCCATAGGCTGTTCCGCTTTAGCACGGTTATACACCGACAGGCATAAGGTTTACTCCAAGGATTCATTTCAGCGTACATATCCATGTACCGTACATCGCGTTTCCACG